GTGGGGACTGACAAGACTGTGCAAGCAACCAAATGCGGAGAAACCATGTGAGAAAAGCTGTGTGATGATTGGTCAGATGCTGTCCTTCTCTACCAGTCGTCGATCCATGTACCTGTTCTCGACTTCTCACGCATCGGGCCACTTATGATCTGTACCTGTCTTAGTGGGGGGCCCGCTTCCCACTTGAGCATGCTGAAAGCGGAACCCTGTGAAGGTGCTTTTGTCTGTAAGAGTTCAATCATCTTCTGTGTTTCTGACTCGATAGTAGAAATTGCGCCGAAAGTGGGGGACCCACTGCTCGGTGCTTACCAAATCTTGCGATCTCCTTGCTTTCTGACTCGCATTCTTCCCTCGGTAGTCGACTCCATATTTACATGCTTCAGAGTCGGATCAGATAACGAGTCTCATACATGCCTGTAGTACTGTGTACCGTGTGGTTTCCTTGCATAACAGCTGCAGACTCATCCTTGTCCATGTCTTCTGGACCATCCACGTGTTCAAATTCATGGATACGAGAAGATTGAAGTCATTAAAGTCGTCTGCGAAAATTGGAACAATGCAGAGAACATTGGCATGGACCCTGGACAATGATGACACACTCGATTGAGAAAGGGTACAAATCTCTAAAAGAAAGAAATAGTAGAAGAGGACATTTCATTTCCCCTACTACCGAGGGAGGAAATTTATGAAATTTGCTGATGGGCATCCTGTAGGGATAAAACGAACGAAAAAAAACGATGTCGACAATGCTCGACATGGAAATCCTGTTGATGACGAATACGACGTTCACCGCGAAGCATACAAAAATGCTATCAATGCGCCTCGCTCCACTGCAAACATGTTACGGGTGACTGGAGAATCCATGGACCAGATACATGTGGAGTCTGTTGACTCATCCCTTTTCTTTTCTTTTTGTGGACTCATCCCTTCTTTTTTTTGTGCGGACTCATCCTTTTTTTTTTCTTCTTTTTCTCTTTTTAAACTCCCTTTTGGATGTCTCGTTTTAAACTATCCCGCATTTTGAATGTAACGGAACCATTGAGTGATCGAAGAATATCCTCAAAGTTAGAGCTTCCCTGCGCCTGCCCTGCCTGAAACATCACTCCTTCCCAATCACACTGACTTTACTTGAAAATGCATTCGGTTTGGTGCAAATATCGTTCGTGGGCCATACCATTTCTCTTCCTGTTTTAGTTCGTTTTGCCTGATAAGGAGTCTTTCTTTTACCCTGATTATGTTTGGATTATTTGAATTTATTTCGTCTCTGGAAAGTGAAAAGCGGACAAAGTAGGGGTACTCGGGATTTGCACACCCCCAGGTGCCCTCCCTATGCGTAATCAATGGGGTTGTTCTGTGTCCCCACTGGAATTACACTGACTTCTGGCTCGGCCCGACTGGTGGTTTAAAATTTTAAATACAATAAAACACTGATGTAGAGAAATGGTAAAATGTGCTTCTGGCAAAACAAAAAAAGAAAAAAAAGAAAAGGTGACTCTTGTCAGTCTACTGTGATCCCAGCACAGCTGGTGACTATGGGAAGTCCTGGGTGTTTTTGTTTTTCTCCTTTTTTTCTGTCGGGGGGGGATAGGGTGGGCCCGGTGGGGGTCGATGTGGACAGGATTGCACGAGCATTTTTTGTATGCTCGGTGCTGGGAGGTTATTTTCACAAGCCAGGCCTTCGTGACGAAGTCGATACTACAGCGCAAATTCACCGCAAATCTGAGAGGGTCTGCAGGTGCTCTGTGCTTGACAGAAAAAAGATCACGACGTAGAAGTGAAATCTGCAATGCTTCACCTGAAGCAGTCCATTTCTGCATCAGTTAGACAAGCGTACACGAGGAAGAGAATAAGAAAGAAGAAGTGGGGTCAGCCAACAAGAAGTCTCGTAAACGCTAACTTGTTTGACAAGCAGGCAGAGGGGGCGATGTGGAGGAGGACGAGGAGGAGGTGGAAGAGGAGGGGAAAAAGAGGTGGATGGTGGAGGATGGCAAGGATCAGGGAGGAGGGAGAGGTAAGGGGGAATCATCCTCGTGCTGTTGGACGAGAAGGAACAGGAGGAAGGGAGAATCTCTCTCTCTCTCTCTCTGTGTGTGTGTGTGTGTGTGGAAGATGTACATATTCTCAGCCCTCTCTGCGTCTGTGGCACAAGTATATGTTCACAGCAGGGTCAGTTCTTCCCCACTCTCATGCCTACACACGGACTTCAGAACACAGACTCTCTGGATTGCATCTTTTTTTGAAAACAAAGCTTCAAGTGCAGACAAAGAAAGGTTGAATGTCTCTCTCCAGGGGCTATAGAAGGAGGGGAAGTGGTACCCTCAATTATGAGTCGTCATGCCACCATACCATCTGTGGAGACTGCTCGGGGGATTGCCGCGTGGTCGGTGCCCATGCAGGTTGGACATGTCCGTTACGCTACTGTACTGTGGACATACTGAGGCAAAAATTAATTCAATTCTAAGAAGAGGACTTCAGCAAACAAGTGAAATAGGTAGGGGTCCGTATGCATGGTCGTCAGAATGATACCGATGTTACTCTCAACTCATAGGCTGGTTGGCTACTCTAGTGTATAAGTTGGGTGAGTTCCAGACATGTCCCCTGTGAAATTTTGATCGTCTTGCATGCGCAGGCTAGAACGCACTTGAGTGACTTGACATCCTCGATACAGGTCGTGTGCGTTATTGCCGGTCGTGTCCATATGCATTCGCAGAGAAGCTGGGATGCGAGTTTTAAATCTCTCGCAAGGCATTCTTGTCAATCTTCCTTGGATCTTCTTTACATATAGCTGAATGCAGCCTGATCACCCTGAAGTTGTCAGACTGATATTTTTCATCTCCTTGAAAACATTTTTGTTTCATGCTTGCTTGAAGCCAAACATCGCGCCTTATCTTATCGCAAGTCCCAGAGATAAAAGCGTACCGAACGTTTGAAATGCGTGCTTTAGGGGCCCACAGTGCATTCCATAGTGTTGCAGTGCATCCAACAGCGTGGCTGGCAGGAATAGATTGACAGGTTATACGGTCGTGCATTACTGCGAGGGTAGGTGGTGGTGGTGGTGGTGGTTAGGTTCCTCTTCTATCTTGTCTCGATAGTTGAAGATAGTATCTTATCTTTACCTTGTTTGTGGAGCTGTGGGACTTTGCGAAAGGTAGTCCCAATAAAACCACCACTACCTCTGAGCGTCTTTTTGCCGAGGTGGAGTAGAACTGCATGCCAAGCTTTGGCTGAAGCGCCAGCGCGACATTTTTTTGTTTTGTTTTGGCTGTCTCCGCCAGCCTTTTTCGGTCCAGGAGCGCCTGGCCACCACCAGCCTCTGAAGAATGTGGTATAGCTTATAATTAATATAATTACGACTTCCGAAAAAATGATATTGTAGGGAGCCTTTAGATGTTGTATAGTGGTTGCAATACCTATTACCTATTATGTAGAAGATGAATTTGCTGATCGCTGGAAAAGGACAGTTCAGCATAGGTCCACTGTTCGAAGGGCAACTGTTCGAAGGGTTCCAGCTACCGTCTTCCCCCGAACACAATGCACCCTCATTTTGGCGGTATCTGGCCGGAGGTATAACTCGTATACATTCATTTTTAGGGTGTGTTATGTTCGGGGGAAGACGGTAGTTCCGCAGGGCCTGTGTGGCACTGTTTCCACATAGTTCTTCCTGGCCAGCAAGCAAAGCCTAGGATATTTGAATGCGGAGTCAAAATAGTTCTGCTGAAAAGAGCTGTGGTCGTTGGATTGTCAATCACCTCGTGTGACTAAAAGAGGGGGTGGACGTCCTAGTAACCGGGGCGGTAACTGGGCGTCTTGGTAACCGGGGCGGTAACTGGGCGTCTTGGTAACCGGGGCGGTAACTGGGCGTCTTGGTAACCGGGGCCGTAACTCTTGGTAACCGGGGCGGTAACTGGGCGTCTTGGTAACCGGGGCC